CGTCCACCTCCGTTTCCATTAATTGGCGGTACTCGAGCAGCCGACGCTGGCGTTGGGCGTGGCGGGCGGCGACCTCCTCGACGGGGTGCGTAAACGCGACCCCCGCCATCAACAACGCCTGCTCCGTTCGCTTAAACGCGGCGATCTCGGCCTCGCACTGGCGATTCAACCCTTCCAGCTGCTGCTGCACCTCCTTCTGCACGGACTCCCAGCTCTTCCTCGCCTGGCTGTAGATCTTCGCCTTGGGGTTCAGGGTATCCATCGCGACCTCTTGGTACATCTCGTAGTTCGAGATCTTCTTATCCACCTCCTCCAGGTGGCGGGCTTTCTTGAACTGGAGATCCCCTAGCGTGGTGTAGAGGTGGCGGAACTGCTCCAGGCGGTCTTTGTGGACCTGAAGAAGCTCCTCGTCGATCTCATTTGCCAGATCGTTGCAGAGGAACGCCTCCAGGTGATCGTACCCGCGTTGGATCTCCTTGTTGTAGGTTTTGATGTTCTCCACCAACCGCGCGAGCGTTTCTTCCGCGGAAGTCAACACCGCGTTGTGCTCGTTCGCGAAGGATTCAAAGGCGGCGGCGTCCTCGCGGCGCTGATACTCCTCCTTTAGCCGAAGAAGCCGATCCTGCACCAGAAATTGCTGCTCCTTGCAAAGGTCACGCATCCGACGTTCGAGCTGCTCCATCGTTCGCAGACACCCAGCCTGCTCCGTCACGCTCGTATTGTAGAGGTTATCCCACTCTTCAAAGTAGTTCTCAAGCCCCTTCACCTGCCCCGCACGGATCGCGGAGAGTCGTTTTTGGTGATACAGAAGTTTTTCCCGATCGTTGCGGACGCGATTCAGGGCGTCCTCCTCGCGTTTAAGACAGGCTTGGCAGCGATTGAGGAAATCCCCACGAAGGGTGGCTATTTTCTCGAGCGGCTTCGATACCCCGCCGATCTTCAACGCCTCAAGCGCCTTCTCCAGCGCGGTGAAGATCGGCACCATGGAGTTCAGCAGGGTGGTCTGCTGGTAGTAAATTTCCTCCGATCGCTGCATATCCCCATCCGTTACAGCCCGCTCCTGCTCCAACTGCAACCCTTCCACGTCAAAAGCGAGGCGTTTCAGCCTCTCCCGTGGCGCCTCCGCGACCTCCGCCGGCGAGGCCGCGGAAAAGCAGCTGTTAATTAAATCCAAAAGCGGCTCCGGCCACGCCGCGAGCTCCTTGATAAGCGAAGGCAACGTCGTGAGCTCGGAGCAGGCGGGCAGCAACGAGGCCTCGCCGCGGTAGCCGTTACTGCTCGCCACCATCAATTCCGTCAAGACGTTCGAGGGGGGGCTGCTGTTTTCCGCGTTCGACTCGTTATTCGCGCGGATGCCGGCCTTGATGACCTGCTCGAACATCCCCTGGAGGTTCTTCTGGAGGAGATTCTGGAGGGCCTGGAGGGCCCCGCACAGACGGCGCGCCCCTTCCCGAGGGTTGGGCTGCTCCTGCGGCGTGGAGGTCGCGGTGGAGTCTTTTTCGCCGTTTTTCACGAGGCCGCTCTTTTCCTCGGGCGAGGACGCGTGGAAAAGTCGCGATTCCGCCCCGCGCTCGGACGGGGAAGTGTGCGCCTGCATCCTCGCCACGACGTCGCCGCGGAGCTTGCCGGTTCGATTCGTCACCTCCGTCAGCTGCTTCAGCAGATCGGCCGTGAAAGACTCGATCTGGGCGGCCGCCTCACCCCTCATGAAGCGTTCGTTAACCCCCTTTGGGGGGGGCAGCTTCGCGGCGATGCCGCGAAGGCTCGGCATGAACTCCGAAGGTTTCAGGCTGAGGTCGCAGTGGTTGACGAACAAATTGCGATTCACACGGCCCCTCAAAGCCGCGAGAGACTCCCGCTTCTCCTTTTCCTTCGCGTTTAGCCGTTCCTCTTCTTTCTTGTCACCTCCATGGTCGAAAATGCCGGGTTTTCCCTTTCCATTCAATTCGGTTTCCGACTTCTTGGACTCCTCGGATGTGGGAGCGTGGCCCATCGACAGGATATAGGTTTGTAGATCCGTGAGCAAAAACTTTAGATGGTTGTTTCCATCTTGTAACCACCGCAAGCGCACGGAGGCGGGGATGAAACCACCCCCGTTTTTGCCTACTTCCTCTAGTTTATTTATCTTTTCCCATGCCTCGCCACCGCCGCGAATGTTCGAATTTTTCGGACTCGTTTTCCCACGGTTTTTGTTCAAGAAACCTTTTCTATCCCAGGAAAGTGTGGAGTACGATTTGATAGACTGATCCTTCTGTGGTGGTTCCTTCTTTTCTTCCGTGACGCTCGGATCCGCGCTGCCTTCGATAAAGGTGCAGTAGTTACAGAGAGTTCCGAAGGTCGTGGCGGCCACTACGTCTTGAATGGCTTCATTAAGAAGGTAGCATTTCTGCTGAAACAGGTTGTCAGTCTCCACATCAGATTTAAGAGAGAAATTCATCTCTGTCATTGTTACTTTGCTTGTTCTTGAGTATTCCCTATATATATTTCGTTTTCTTTTAATGTTAAAGGTATATTTTAGAAAAGCACCTGGAGTGGGAATCCTAATGAAGTGAAAAAGTGAAACCATACAAGCTCCTGCCCTCGCCTCATCACCCAGGATGCAGACGGGTTCAACAATATGAAGAGCTTCTAGTATTGTACTGAAGCTGCATCGTATGGGTCCATTTATTTTCTTTGCAACTTTTCCGATAAGCAGATAAAAGTTAGAGGCTACACATTCTCAACCAGAACACTAAGCACCAGCTTTTCAGATGGATTGCAGGAGAGGCAAAGTTGCCAGGGGAGGATGTAAAGCGTGGAACGTCTGTATGAAAATGGCATCCTCATGCGCACTATATCTTACACATCCGCGGTCCTTTCCAAGCGACCATCCAGTAGAAGGGAACCCCCCCCCCCCCCCTCCCCCTTAACCACAACACCATGGATGCGGATTCCAGCTTCAGGCTTCGCCCTCGAGGCGGTCAGATCAATAAAGTCTTTCTAACATGGTGTACTAAAGAAGCGGCAAGTTCAGACAATAATGGCCGCCGATGAATTTCGCAGGCGACGCATGCCTTCAGTTGAGGCCTTTGCTGCACAAAAAACCATTGCTGGGGGATTTTAGATTGAAAATAGGCGAAGAAATGACGTTGTCTCTATCCTAAGCATGATTCAACCCCAACCCTACCTTGGCAAATCACCACAATCAAAAACACCGCAAAATGGCGAAGACGAAAAGGAAAAAGTCGTGATGAAGCAGATTCATAAAGAAAGAAACACAACCCATCCTCTAAACATTTTAGCAGCGCATGCCAAAAACAGAAACTATAAATATTCCGCAACTTTAGGAAAGGAAAAAGGCTTTATGTCCGTTATTATTACTACCACTCTAAAATTCACCTTCAATAGTTTGGTGCACGTATACACACGTGCACGCCAAGCCAGCACTGCATGAATCATCATCTACCACAAACATCCTATAATCGAGATCACCAAATAAACTGAATACCAGAGAATCCAATAGATCATATACCCAAACGAAGACGAATTGAGCAGAATCCTCTCGTTCCGGTTTGAGTTTTCAGGGTGGGTTAGACCAACAAACGTGAACCGGTAAAGAACAAATATTTCAATGATAAATGGGAGGAAAAAAAAAGCAACCTGGATTTCACCCTTTGCGCCATTTCCATTAATATTACAAGGACCCTTCCTGTTTAGCTTTTCTTTCCCACACCCCCATGCTTCTTCCTCTTGCATTATTCAGGCAGCGTTACCAACGCCCGCTGCTTTGCGATAAGATCCGCAATAGAAGGCAGCTCCCGGGGTGGTAAGCCGAGCACTTTACGGCGGGCCGCTTCCATCCGTCGAAACGTTTCGATCTCCTCCTCAATCGCGCTCTTTGCCTCGTTTGTAAAGACGCTCGTCTCCGACATCAGCGAGGAGGACTGGCGGTAAAGCGCCATCAGATCGCCATCGATGACGTGATGTGTGGGGTTCCCCATCATCGCCACCACCCGTGGAGCGTTGCTGCGATGGTTGTATGGCAAACTCCCCCCCCCTGGCGCGAGGAGGGCGCGCAGGCGTGAAATCAAAACCGGCTGAACGTACGCCGCCATCGCGGCATCCTCCTCGGATACAAAAGGGATGTAAGCCCCCACCCGCCCCATCGTGGTGGCGTAGAAGAGGATGTGAATCGCGAGAGAGGGATCCGCGCCCTGGCTCGGGTTATAAGGTCGCACCTGCAGCGCGGTAACGAGCTCCCCGGTGTAATGGCAAGCGACCTCGTCCAAATCCTGCTCCTTCGAGATGAAACGACTCACCGCGTTGAGCTCGGCGTCGGACATTTGCTCGATCGGAACGGAAAACCGAGTGCGGGTGGTATCCGGCAGGCGAAGCAACACCACAAAACCAAAACGATCCGCCACGGCGATGGTGTGCTCATCCTGAAGCACGGCGAGCGCCGTGAGGCTGCGGGGGACCGCGTCCTGCGCGATAATCATCAAAAACGACGGGGTTCCCACCCCCCCACTGCTGGGATCTGCCGCCCCACCGGGCTGCAACGCCGCCACGATCACCGAATGACTCATCGTGGCGCAGACCACCAAAAGCTGCTTTTCCATCGCCCGCCGACGCGCCTCCGGGCGATCAAACGGGCAGTGATAGAGATCCGCGAGGTAGTACTTCTGCACGGCGTTCTTACCCACCCCCCCGCCGGGGTTCACCCCACGACTGCTCGGCGGCGTGAAAAACATCGTCTCGATCGCCACAATCCGGGAGGGGAAATTCGGCAGCTGGCGTTTTCGCAAAAACTGTTGTTGCCCCCAGACGTACACCCGCAGCCCGTTTTCCGGTCCGAGGCCGACAAAAAGCAGCCCGACATCCTCGCAGATATGCACCGCGGAGGGGAAATCCGGAGCCCCCAACCCCCCGGCCAGATGGGAGGCTCCGCCGTCGAGGGTGGATCCCCCCCCCGGGGTGGTGCGAATCAGCGTGTTATGCAGCGGCTCCAGCCGAAGAATGGGGTTTCCCTCGCTGTCGAGCATCACCGTGCGCGGCGGCGCCACGGTGGGGGTGGAGTTTCCACCGCGCGGATTCCCCCCCGCAGCGGACGCCGGGGTCGCGGCGTAGCTCGTGAAACGAA